TATGCTAAAACATACCCATTAAAAACAGTTTTGAATCATAGATAGCATGCTGCTGAAAAAAGGACAATTTTTCCTCTTTTAGAAGATTCAATATTTTAGTCCTAACATATTATAAGGCCAAGGAAACATAGATTTATCTATTTACTTGAGTCCCGGAGTTCAGATCACGAATGTTACCTTTTCAATTTCAGGTATATTTTTGAAAATGAATGATTTGAGTACTATTTTGAGGATGCGTTTCTTTAGTCATAAAAAACTTGAGCCTTTTAAACTAAAAATGGTACATGTCAGAAAGATAAAAAGAACTATATAAGTTCACCAATCAGCTGTTTACCTGGGTGGGAGTTTTTTGAAAGCTGTTAGAGATATGTTCAGAAATCACTGATGATATACGCAGTTGTAGTCGAGGGGGTTGAAGCGCAGGGTGCCACTTGGAGCTCCTGCACTGTCAGGATAGACTGGACTGATGAAGTGGCAAACTCCTCCGCAGCGCAACCAGGTGACTTTGTTCGTCTATCTCTGTCCCGACTTCTCCGGTTTTATTCTGATAGGCCTTCGTTTGCTTATCTTCCTGTCTTTACCTCTGCAGCGGGGAGTTATTAATTATTAAATATTACATAGAAATAACTAATAATACGAGAGCAGGAAGATAATTGCAGAATTAAATCGACTATTCATAACTGAGTGTCATAGTGACAGTGTAATCGAATTTGCTCTCGTGGGATAATGATGCAGATGAAAATGACATAAAATCCCAGTTCAGATAACAAGAATGGAAAACTAACTTAGGGAATGGTGTAGATGGGTGTTTAACATCAGGTGTTACACTCTCTTAGGAACGAAGGGGACTGGTATCTCTTCCAGAGGAGAGTACTCTGCGGTGTGGCTGTTCTGTCTCTCTATTACGCTGATAAGGGGACCTTAAACTGGGTGTTTTAAATCATTTCAGGCAACCTTTTCAAATCTGAGTAGCAACTGCTATCATGTTTTTCTGTTAAAAAAGGCACCAATAAGTGCCCCGAGTAGACTAAACAAATCGTTACCCAAATCGGTTGGAGAAGGAGGTATAATAACAGCCTGAGGTGGTGGTAGGGGAGGAGGGGTTCAGGAGGCTCGTCCTTTATCTGTAGGGGCTGGCTGGGGGAATGATCTGGAAGGTCAAGTTCAGGGGATTATCGTAACTTCTGGTAACATCGCTATCCGTCATCGTATACTCCGATGAAATACCTGGGGAACAGAGTGGTTACCCGTTGGAAATATATTTATACGTGGCCCCTTATTTTTAAACACAATGAAAACAATAATGTACGGCCTAAACTGCCTAGGTGCCGGATAAAGATAAAGGGCCTTGGGAGAGGCTAAGAAGTTGAGACACTTACTGAGGCTTGTAGGACAGGATCCCAGGTGAGTAGACATCATGATCTTGCGGGTGAGGGGTTGGAGGTCTCCACAGGCATGTCCACGGGCCAACCTCTTCTTCTGCAAGGTCCTACAAGTGGGAACTGGGGCCAACAGTTTGTTACTTTTTGTTTGTGTACTGCACTGGAGTCGCACAGTTAAATGAATACGAAATTTGTGATCGCTATAGTATAAATAAGAGAAGGCATTGTAAGTTTTATTAACCAGCAAATAGTACATTCCACACTCACGAAGGTTAAGCGATCTAGATGAAACACCTCTGTACAGGAGTGGACTAGAAAAACAACGGATTTCGGAAAAAAAGTTCGTTCCTTAAATTCTGGCATAAATTTTTTTCGATAAACTGGAAGGTTCAACCATCTTGACTTCAACTGCCAGAAGTGAAATTTTTTGGCAAGATTTTCAGTGGGAGGGATCTGGGTACTGAGCCCAGTAGCGGGAATATTCATATCGCACATGCAAGTTTAGTCCAACAGAGGCTGGCCTACTAGCCCACATCCTGTAATATATGTGATAGCTGACACAGAACACTCCACTTATATGCGATCTTAAAACATTTCAAATGGATAAAAAATATTTAAAAAATCGACGTTATTCTGAGGGGTTCATTTCAATGAGAAATTTATCATAAAACAATAAATTAGCTGATTTCACACATCGTACTAATAAATGAAAATATTCTGACATAAAAATTCCCGTCCCTAAAATTTTAACAACTGCGAAACTTGAGGCGGTTTTCATCTATAATCTAAAACAGCTAACAGAGAGTGGAAAATACCAAAGATTAATAAATACAGAATCCTTCCATCTAGGGAAGATACGAGAGAATGAAACCCTATTCTACACATCATGAATGCCAGAAGAAGCTGCTGACCATTATAAAGAACTCGGGTCAGGATTGAGACACCACTAACTACTCGGAGGGACATTATTCTACTTTCCGAAGGGAAATGAAATGGCGGGCCTGAATTAACAGAGATTCATAGCTAGGGGAGGAACGCAGGAGTTCACACCGCACAGAGAACCCAACAGTTTGGAGATTAGAGTGGCAGGCCAGATCCCGGTTGGAACTGGGAGTTAGGATTTGTGCAAAGGTGAGGATGGTATATGGTGCCTGATTGTTGGACTGATGACACAGTCAGTGTCTGAGGGACCTGGCCCTGGTTAAATAATGACACCATTTGTTTGGTAAGTTTTAGTTCCACCCTGGGTTAGGTCCACATTCCCGTACTGGTTAAGGATTGTGAGGTTTACAACTGGTTGTAGTGCTGGCCCTTATTGTAAAGGTGACTGTTAAAATAAGTCAGGATGGACTGGTTGTGCCCTTGGATTATAGCGAGTGTCCCAACCCAGCCAGATCTTGAACGCTGGTTTATGGAGACACTGGAGGAGGCTGTTAAGGGGTGTTGTTTGGAACGTACGGGACAGAGTATTCATTTTGTTGGCAGTAGCTCATAGAGGTCGGAAGAACTTGGGGAGATTGGAATCAGCCGTGAATGTGTCAGGTAGTTCGGTTTAATAGTCAATGTTAACGTTGCCTTCTGAGAATGTTGTTCGGACATAGAAGATGAGGCTTGACGCGACACTGTGAGGGCGATTGGGGGTTTGACTGGTCCAGCTGGCTACTGGTTGGAAAGGAATCATAAAGATGCGTGTTAGGAGCAGTGGATTCCTTTTGAGGGGGGGGCCGTATACGTTCTTTTTTGGGGCCTTTAAAAACAGTAAGACGAGGAGTAAATCCAGCCGAACTACTCTGATAACAAACTGGTGGCCTACTAGGATTCTCTGGATTATAATGGATATCATTGGTCTAGCTTGAGTCAGGACAGGTATAAGTTCTCTGCCAGGGAATGGCATCCTTGGGACAACACAAGAAGGCCCAGGTCGAGCTCAGGTCGAGTTAACTTCGCAGCTTGAGGCTGAGGGCATGCTTGCGCTGTGCTGAGAGCCAACTTCTTCTATACACTTTAGGCCACTCCAGGTAGCAAACCTCCTCTTTCGCTGCTCTATCTTGGGACTAAACATTAGCATTATTGCCTCTTCTTCTCATAGACAGAGGCCGGACATATCCGGCATCGGAGGAGTGCTCAGAAGAAGACGGCAGCTCCTCTTCCCTCCGCTGTCTCGGCGCGAACGGCGCTTCATCTTGCATTTCGTAGTATCACCTGGGGGTCCCGCACATTGAGTAGGTTAGAAGAAGGTCGTCCTGGTATCCTGTTCCTCCCCTGCGCAGGCCTGCATGCGCTGAAGACTCGTGTCTGTACACGAGGCAGTGTCCTCCTGCAATGAAATAACTTTAGCTAACATATAATTTGTTGTCGGGGCAGTTATCAACTCTTAAAAAAGATGTCCCTGTGGCAATGGCAGTAAGGCTACGTAGGCGCCACTAGCCAAAAATATTGGTTTTGGTCGCCAAAATCGACTGCAACTTTTTTCCCTAGTAAAATAATCGGTAGCTCTAAAAAGCTGCTGTGTGGCGTCATCAATGGTTTACAGGCAGTAATTGTCGCAAAATAATTATTTAGATAGGGTATCAGCTAGTACAAGGCCTGTAGGCAGTACGACCCTATCAATTAGATAGTGATAGTTTTACACGCAAATCAAAAGAGCAATGCAAACATGCCGCGCATGGTCTTCTGGTACGTTGGCGCGCCAAATGGGAACTTTGTACTTCAAAATTGGCAAAAAGGAAGGACCCAATCCCGCACTTGTCGCGTCATGATGATCTGCAAGATGGCTGTCTGTATAATTGCTCTGCTATCATAATATACGAACTTAACTCATTTACAACCTACAAAAATTAAGACTTAAAGTGTGGAAGCGAATAATAGGTAGGGCAGCAACATACCCTATATTCCTACAAGTATAGTAATGATTATTTAGCAACAACGATGCCCTAGATTGGGACCTAATAGGGGCCACATTTTTAATCCAGCTCCTTTTTTATGGCCCTTCCAAATGTTGCGCAAAGACTTTAGCCTCAAGTGTACTCATGTGTCGAAATAATAACGTATTTGGCACCACAACAACGTTATCTTTAAGGTTGATTTGCAACGTTTTACAAAGTTGAAATTGAGGTGTTTTCATAAAAAATAAATGCATCAAGTTTAGTAGTTACGTGTCAAAACGCGCCAAATTTTCCAATATAATATGACATATGAACCTTGAGTTTCCTGATTGATCTGCAGGCAGAGGCACCTTTCAAAGAACCAATAATATGATACATGTACATGAGGTATATGTACAAATAAACCAAATGAATAATAAGCGAGACACAACATAAATCATTAAACAAAGTCTTACTTTCCTGTTTTTAAGTAACTCGGAGAAGTTTTCTGCGTTTTCGCAGCCTCCAAAAAGCGTAGAGCAAATTGTTTCAAGGGGGCGTGAGCTGAGAGTATTAGCCGTTAACATTATACAACTGTAATACAACTACCATACATTATACACACAATTAAATCTTCTCGGATGCAAATATATAGCATCCAGTAACGGTAAAGTTTTATTTCCTATTCCTATTATAAGATTTGTTCATTTGAACATCCAGCACAATTATAGATGGGAATTGGGATATTGTTCACCTCGTCTTCAATAGATTTAATTTCGTCCTCAAACTGTTTGAATTCTTTGTTTTCAGCGACGATATCTTTGTCTGCTTCACTCTGCGATAAGCAACAGGTTTGTTGGATAAGTCTATTTTATTATCTGTCTAGCAGATATAATACCAAACATCAGATCACGTCATGTAAAGTCAATAAAATGTCCTTTACAATTCAGAAATTTCAATTTACCATAGCAGGTTCACCCTCAATAGCAACTTCTTCGTCAAAGTCGCACATATCTTGGGACTGTTCAGTGGTTGCTCGTTGTGCAGCGCTTCTGTCTTCAACGTCTTCAGCATCTGCTAACACCTGACACAAGTCAATATTAAATATCCAGCATCACTAGGCTGGTAAGATTAAGTGATCAACAATGGATTTGGAGCCTCATTTTGAGAGTGGAAACTTAAAAGCTTACTGTTAATAATAATTACTATAATTAAATAATTAAGGTAATGACTAATTAACTACCTGCTCCAGATCTTTCTTAGAGATAGTCCTGTGTTTTGGTGAGGCAGTACTGGGGTCCTCCTCCACAATGGTATTACCGAATAATTCGGCCATGTTGTCCTTCTTGAAGAACGCTGTGGTGAAGTTACCCTCTTCTATTGCCTACCGCACCAAGCAACCCTTTTCTGGTTCGCTTTCTTTAGGATATTCTCCTCGATTCGTACAGGAGCTTATCAGTCTATAAATGTTGAACACTCCCTGAAAAAAGGCAGTCATTAATTATAATCCGGTAATTGTATTGTAATTGCAAGTAATATAAATTAACGATATTTAGTGTTAGTATTTACTGTTACAATCTGAACAATGCTAACCAATGCTACCATAATGAAGTAAAATAAAGTGGCTGGAATAAATCCCAATGAATATCGGAGAGATTCCAACCTTGTCTGACCGATCCTATGACAGCGGTCCTGCGCCTGCGCGTCCATTGTAGGATTCCAGTCAGAGTCGTAGAATATAACAGTGTCAGGCACCAGTAAGATTTACACCAACTCCTCCTGATCTGGTACTCAGGATCATGCAGAATATCTTACTGTCAGCATTAAACCGCTCCATTAGCTCCTGGGGTTACAGTTACATTTAGGGGGCTACGTTACAGGGGGTTACAGTTACATTTAGGGGGCTACGTTACAGGGGGTTACAGGGGGTTACAGTTACATTTAGGGGGCTACGTTACAGGGGGTTACAGGGGGTTACAGTTACATTTAGGGGACTGAGGTTTCACACCAAAATCTTAGTAAGTTGAGTAAACTCTATTAGAGGAAGAGTTTTAGACAAATTAAGATGCAGTGATTCCCTGTCAAAATGTAAAATGTAATTAAATCTCTGGTGTTATTTAAACTAACCAGTCGGTGGTCTACTCTGGTGGTACCGTCTAATCTGAGGTATCGATAACCGTGGTAGTTTAAGAAACGCTCTAAAATGTCCAGGACTTTAGTCATCTGAGTGAAGATCAGAGCTCTGTGGTCGCCAACTTTCAGGTCGGCTAGTAAACGGTCTAATCGCTGTAGTTTGCCGCAGTCGTACTGTATTAATCTGGAACAAGGTTACCATTATAATTATTAGTATTATAACTTCAGATTTACACGGGATGAACACAAAATAGAGGTATAACAGGTAATTTCATATCATTGTAGAACTAATCCATGTTGACTATCTCAGAGAACAACGTCAACTCTTATTACATCAGTCTAACGGCACAGATAACTAAATACCTAGTTTCGGGCATGATCATCTGTAGTTTTGAGCGGACAGAATGATAAAGGTCAGTAAGGTCATGACACTGGTCGATAAGAGATGTAGCCATGTGTTTTAGAGAGATTGGATTTACTGATACAGAGATTGGATCACAACATATCATAAATCTCTCGATTATTGGAGATAAATCTTCCATTCTCTCTATCACTGAGGAAGATTTGTTGAGTAAATTGGTAACCTACATATTGTATAACATTATGAGTTACATTATACGGCCTCATAATTGTAAAACAAATTTTGGTATATTGTGATTAATCAGCAGTTTGGAAGAACATCTTTACGGTACAAAATGTGAAACACGTTTTAAAAACACGGTATTCAGGCGAAAGAGTAACCTGTTTTGTGTTGCACAGAAGAGAACTTGACAGACACAGTACTGATAAGATCAGCTCCGTACATGGGAACTCTCTGGCACCTCATATCGTTCAGATCCGCTAACATCCTCCTCCTACTTGTCCTCCACGCTTGTCTTGTTTCTTCCAGTGACGGCTAGACGATATGCAGGTTGGTTACACAATAAGACAACTCTAATCTTTTTAAATAAAAGTCGTATACCACTAACTACTACCCCAGCAAAAAAGCGTTGTTTAAACTGGTTTATTGTAAATTAGAGCTTAAGACGTGTGGAGCTGTTTTTAAAAACTTGTTAAAGTTTTAATATGTTCACGTGTAATAAATGTCAATTCACAGTCCTCACCAGAGCGAGAGAGTTGTTGCAGCAGCCGTCAGCGTGGTCAGGGGACCTACGCTCTGCTTTGACAGGGGACGTCTCAACAGTGTTGCGCGGTGACATGGTGCGCAGCGTGTGGGGCTCTGGTGACGAGCAGCTGCTGTGTGCTAGTGTCGGGGGTAACATAGCTCCTGGAGGATATTCACATTGAAATAGTACTGTATTATATTATTTATAAGTCTTTTCGAATACATAATAGCTTCGTCAACTACATCCATCTTATAGCTAGGTGTGATTTAGATTTCAAAATACATACCGCGTTTAGAGCTCCCTTTAGAAGTGTAGTTAGTTAGTTGAGGTGGTCCTAGAGGAGGTCGGCGAGGTGGCGGCATTCCAGGCTCCACTAGAGGTAACATTACTCCTGATACGGGATCTCTAAAGTAGCCGGCAGGATGAGATTACTGCTGGCAGGAGATTGAGGGGACACTGAACCTACTGGTGTTTCCCTTGTCTCAGGGTTTCTGGTGACTTGTTTAGCCATGAGAGGAGGGGGTTCTGAGGAATCGCTCCGAGGTGAGGACAGAGAGAGAGGGTTAGGAGAGGTGTAGTGTACAGATCTAGGAGAAGGTAAGGACCGGGGCGAGGACATTGGTCGAGGGGAGCTCTTAGGGTTGCTGCGCGCAGAGCTAGTTGGCGCACCTGGAGTAGAGCGTGCACTGGTAGGTGGAGTGCTGCGAGGGGGTGCAAGAGATGGCATTTGTCTGAGAAGAGGTAGAGGAGGTAATGTGGGAGAAGGAGGACGAGGAGGAGGGAAGGAGGAGTGGGAAGGAGCGGTGTATAGGACGTTATCTGGTACTGCGCCTTTGTAGTTCACTTCTTCTATCAACAATCTGTGTGCTTTTATCTGCTGTGTTCTGTGAGCTGAAATAATTAATTATGTTTATAAATTATAATACGATAAAAATCTTAATTTGCTTTATGTAAATTTACTTGCAAGACCAAACATTGAATCAAATTGATAGTGGATGAAGAAATTTTCTTACTTTTTGAGACCAATTCGTGGTATAAAATCTTATTTCGTTTTTAAAGCAAAAATTCGAAAAGAGCAAATTCTTCAAACCAGAGTGGGCTGAAAGAGAATGTTCGTAATCAGCCAAGTTGAAGTTAAAGAAGTCGAGATCAATGTGGTTGTTAGATCTGAGAGCGTTGAGAAGAAGAGCAGGGGTGTTAGTTTGTAGGGATGGGAGAGCTAGAGGAGAGAACACACCACGTTCCTCAAACAGATCCGGGTGGTTGCATACCTGCAGGAGAATAGAGTGTTAATCTGAGAGTACAGTGTTAATCTTACGGTTTTTGTGACTGATTATCAAGGGGAAAATTCGCAGATTAATTGCTGTGAGACCAGTAACTTCATTAATTTTTTAATTTGATCGAGGTTTTTAAAATCAGTTAAGTGTTACCTTTCTGAGCTGCATTAGAATTCCAATAACACTGATAAATCTGCCACTAGATAGCGTATCTCGGGTATCCTTCCTAGACAAGAACTCTTCATAGAGCGCTCTTTGTCTTTTGGAGAGACCGCACATCAAAACACTCTCAGTCTTAGTAGGTAGCTGTAACTCGACCTCCTTCTTCAAGCGGCGCAGCAAGAACGGGCGCAGTATCTTGTGTAGTCGCTCTACCAAGTGCGCGTTGTATTCCTCTGTTCCTTCTACCATGCCGACTAGAGGATTACCAAACCATTCCCTGAACGCGCTCTGAGATCCGAATACAGAGGGCATCAAGAAGTGCATCAGTGACCAGAGTTCCATGAGATTGTTTTGTAGTGGAGTCCCTGTCAGTAACAACCTGAATATCATTATTTAGTTAACTGTGAGAGGGGCATATTAAATCAAATTATCATTTTCTGAACACAAGATGAAGTTTTCTTCTAAATTATTGGAATGAAGGGAATTTATCCAGACCTTCGCTGAGAGTTGAAGTTGAGAAGAAGCTGCCACCGTTGAGATTTGAAGTTTTTGATATTATGTGCCTCATCGAGAATGAGGAAATACCACTTTTTGGACCTGAAGGCTCGATAGTCCTGTATAACAAGCTTGTAACTCGTAACACACACGTGGAATGTGTTGGGTTTGGTCCAGCCAACTCTTTTCTCTCGTCTCTCTTTCTGGGACCCGTAGTATGACATGACCTGAAACAAAGCTTAGTCAGTTTCTCATCTACTCCGTTTAGCGAAAACCTGTACGATTAGTTTCTTCCTTGTAATTAATGGAACTTGGAAATGATTAAGTATGATAAGATTCTCACCTTGAAGGAATGGAAGCCATTTCTTGAATTCCAATTCCCAGTTCAGAAGAACAGATGTTGGAACTATGATAAGATGAGGACCCCAAATACCTTTGAAACAACTAGATTGCGCTAACAATGCAATGGTCTGCATTGTCTTCCCTGTGAAATAAGTACATAACTTAACAAGTACTGCCAGAGCAAGCACTGCTTCAAATATTACTTCCAACTTATAACCAATTAACTTACTAAAATCAACTTTCAATAACTTACCCAAGTCCCATTTCATCAGCCAAATGCCGTTGAGTTTCCTAGCCTCCATAGCAACCAGCCATTGGAGACCAACCTCCTGATACTCTCGGAGATGGCCTCGAAGCAGAAGGGGTATTTGGACTTGGAGAAAGGTCTTGTTGCTCGGTTCTACTTCAGACGCACCGGAACAGAGCTTACCTGCCATCACCAAATACACGTTAGATGCTTTCTCTTGACTAATGATCATTTGTTTTCTCTTTAGAGAATACAATTAGTTAGTGGTATTCCTCAGCTACCGTTATCATTGCAACTCAATTTCATTAAGATTCAGAAACTGAGGCTCAATTCCAATAGTATTTATACTTTATAAGTATTTTATTTTTAAAAGTATTTTATACCTAGCTCTATATCGATCTCCTTAGCAGAAGAAGGAGTAGAAAGTTCCATATCAGCATCCTCTCCATCACTACCTCACTCTCCTCCTCTTCTCACTGTCCTCTTCACTTACACATCCACTCCTGTTCCTGAAGACTCTGTCATTGCATCTCGTCTTCTTCACGTAGCGTGCTATCAGCTCCTCTAGAGGCACGTCTTGGTCGTGTTTAAATCTCCGATCCTCGTCAGCTTTATCTGATCCTTTGGCATCAGCCTGCTTCTGCTTTGCTATCGTAGCTTCGTCGTCAGCAGATGTGTCGTCAGAACGCATTGTAGTCCATGCTGTGACTTGAACCTTCTCCGGTCTTTCCTAGCATTCCTGAACAAAGATCATTGAAAACTTTCATATTGATGACCAATTTCGTCTCGACATTACGGTCTATTGAAACAGTTGTGCAGAACTATCTGAAATATAATACCTTCCGGGAATTATATCCACTAAAACTCGGCGACAACCGAGAGCTGATAATTTGCACATTTTTCCCGCAAGGGAAGCGAAGGTATTATCACATAGACTCAGACTGGCTTGGCGGCAAGTTTGTAAAACAAATAACACAGGCGTTCATATATTAGACATTGCGCACGTATCACATTACACCCCTTCCCAATCGGAACCGGAATGTATTTAAAATAAGTAATACCTCCACTACTTCGTGCCCCGCGTTCCCTCCACAAGCTGTCGGGAATTATCGCGCTCAGCACTCAGTGGCGGAGGTATTATAGTATTATAACAAATTATGAAGTTGACCTGGCGGTAAAGTCTGGATCAGTTCGTGTGATACCATCTCGTTTTGTTTCTTCAAGTCAGCGAGCTCCTCCTCCACATCACTCTGTCCCTCCTCCTCAGCTGCTGCTATCGTCTCCTCGTCATCAGGCTGGTCTAATGTTGCTGGATTTGAATCTACATCTCCTGAGGAGTACACTGCTGGGGAGGTGTCATCGCCAGTATCGCCACTTTTAATAGAGTTGAATACATTCATATCGATGGCGAAAACGGGTGCGATGGGGCTAAAAAAATGTCTGCAATTTTTGCCATTGCATCGAAAATGGTGAGAATGGCGTAATTGTTCTCTGGATGGACTTAGGTTATTTAAAACGAGAATTGCGAAAAAAACGTTTTCAAGACGTCAATTTGTGATCGAACAGTTCATTACCGTCTTGACTAAAGGGGTGAGCATGACACTGCTCTTTGGAGTTTTGGTAAGTCCTTGTGCTAGCCATGACGAGAATTGCTCCTTTGCCCTACTATTATGTTGAGGTGGGTATCCATTAACTTCCGTCTGCGTTCCTCCAATTGTGACCTGAAAAAGTGGGGAGTAATGTGGTGAAACTGATGTCATTAGTCATTACATTGCACAATGCATAGAAAAAGACTATCATCAGGAGACGAATCATCAATTTGAGTCTGTAATTTGAAATAAATCTGTTGGTTATTTATAACAATAAAGAATACACCATTGGCAATAAACACAACAACTTACTCCTGTTTAAATTTATGAACTTTCTCTACACCCGACCACATCTTCATCACATCCTTGCAATATTGTGAGCAATCTTCTTTAGGCTTCTTTTTCCTGTTCCAACCATTTGTCTGCGTTTTGGCAGGCCTCTTTTTCTTCAAACACTTTAGCAACTGCATAAGCCTGCTTTTTTGGCTGCTGCTTTTTTTCCCACTTTCTCTCCTGACTAAAATCAGTGGCCAGCCACTGCATCTCTTCCAATAAATAATCCCAATGACACTTGATCTTATCAGTTCTTTTACTTTAGGGCCAAAACGTTTTGAGTGACCACATGCCCCTGCTGCTTCAAATTACAGCCACCTGCTGAACTATCAGAGGTTTTCGTGCTTGGCCTTCTTCTATGACACCACCCTCTGGACAGGGGCAAAGCCATTGCTGCTCATGAAAAGGGGTTGAGGAGGTGCTTCCTTTTTTTTTTTACTTTCCACTTTAGGCATTACGTGACCAGTGGGGAAACCTTGTTCTAATAGATCGGGAAAGAGCGTCCGTGGGTAGCCGCGCAATTTTATTTTGCTGAAATATAGTTTTTCGAGGAAAGGGTTTGGATTGGTTTTGTCCAGAGGTTGATGTCCAGCAGGTTTTCCATCATTTATGTAGGAAAAAAAAAGCTCAGCTTAAAATGGTTTTCTAAGATTATCCTGAAAAAGGTAGTTATTCGTGTCATAAAGGTCCCTGTCATAGCAGCAATTATAAGTTGTTTTAAATTGATAAGTCAAAACTGAAGGCTAGGATGTTAAGAAACCACGTAAATACAGAGCTAGAGACCTATTTGATTTAATGTACATAACACAGAGTTCAAAACAAAGAATGTCCCCTTCCAAAAATAACCTGGTGTTTTTTGGATTTCATTCCTCAGATCATTTACTAGGTTTGTCCCTCTTCATATGCTGGGCCTTTTGGTTGCTGGATTCAGGGTATTGTAGTGACATATCGCTTCATAATCTCCTATTCAATAATGCTTCCCTGTAAAAATAAGTTTTAAATTATTTCCCATTTAAAAAAAAATGTTTGCCCACAGACAAGATCAAGAGAAATTAAGTATAGTCAGATTTTTTTTAATTCTTAGATTTAGAATATGTTGCGTCAGGAAGGGAGGCGGGGGCGAATCATCTGGCAAGGATGATTGAACATTGACAAATAACACCAGTTTAAGTCCCCTAGCCTGAGAATATATAAGTAACCTCAAATTAAAAAAGGAATCGCAATATTGTAAGCAATGAGGCAAGAAATTATTTATTTAGCTTAAAACTTGAAAAATCTCTCTCATATAAATATAAATTACACTTCAATTTAAATTAAAAAATTATAAATCAATCACTATAAATTTGAAAATAATTTCCCCATACAGCCCATTGTCCCACACCAAAAAGAAATATATCCTCATTCTATTAAACAGTTATTTTTTAGTTTTAAAATCAATACACTATACTTAGTTGCAACCATTTATAAAAAAAAAGCAAATTGATTTGTGATTTAATAAAAAGATAAAACTAACCAACAAAGCTCAAGAGGGAGGTGGGCACTCTGGTATTTTTAACCCCACTCAAAAGATCTGTTCTTATATACTGAACCAAAATCCTCCTCAGTCAGGTTTTGGGATTCTAGATAGATCTTCTGTGATAGGTTGGGCGGGCTGTGGAAGCTAAGGTGGCAAAATGGGTTTGTTGGACGCAGCAAGAGTTTGAAATTCCACCAAATGGGGCTGAAAGGGGTCTGATTTATTTGTAGCTAAAAAGGTGGGGGATTTTGAGTTTTTGAGGTTGGTAAAAACTGTAAAAAATGTCCCCAGTATTGAAAGGAGAAGGTTTTGCTGAGAGCATTCAATTTAGGAAAAGTATTATTTTGGCAGTCTTTGAACTGTTGGGGCACCCCTGGTTTTCTGAAAATTTCTGATTGTCCAGAACTTACCAGTAGTTTGGCCCAACCAAAGAACAGATTAGGTGGGAATAGGGTTTGGCTATCTGAAGAACTGGGGGGCCCCCCGACTGGGGCCCACTGGCCTTGAATTGGGGGTAAACGGAGGGGGGGAGAGGACGGGGACTGTCCAAAAGTTGTTGTGATGTGGGTTAAAGGGTTTACCAAATGCAGGCTGTCCAAAGCCAGGTTTCCCAAACCCAGGATAGAAATTGGTGGGTGCCAAAAAAAAAACAGATTTCCAGAGTTATTCGTGGGAGCCAAAATACATTCCCTGATACCGTGTTCCGCGACAGGGGGTTTGATGTAGCAGATGTAGCAGAAAGGAAGGGTATTGCTCTGGTTTTTTTGACGCTGGTGTTTGATTCGAAAATGATGGCCTTGAAAAAAGTTGGTGGAGTTCGAAGTTGGTCCAAAACTATGTGATGCATTTTTATCCAAATGTACTGTTTTTTTACAGACCCAAATCCACCAGAGGTATTTGAACCAAAACACTACTAGTTTTAGCAGGGGGAACACAGACTTTACTACCAAATGAAGTGGCCCTGAGGGGAAGCTACCAGTTAAAAGGGTTTGGAAACACTGGAAGAGTTGCCAAATACGTTGGAGTTTGTTTTTGCACTGTGTTTTGGGGGCGTTTGCAGAAACCGAATTTTTTATTTATCGTTTTTCCCCAATTTTCTGACGAATCAAAATTGAGGGATGTCATTTTTAATCAGCTTATTTGGCGAGCAGAAGTCTATGAAATTCTGCCCCTTTTTTGGCCTTCAACAAGTTTCTCTTGAATGTGCCTGATTGACTGATCCAGAGGTTCTTGCAGTGTTTTAAAAAAATGGGAAAATCTAGGCTTCATAACAGATAAATCCTTAAGTTTCTGAAAAAAAATTGTTCTATCCCTTTCACTGAATAACAGGAAAAATGGCCAAACCTTTTTGATGGAAGCCAGTTTTCGAAGTCGTTTTGCAAACTAAATTTCAGCTTTTTCGGATTCTGCTGAAACCAAACTTTTTTTGCTTCATTTTTTTGCTTCAATTTCTCATCTGGATTCAAATATTGTGAACCGATTTTGGGTCGAAAATCGACTGAAGGTATTGCCTTGAATCATTTGCATTTGTGCTAGTAGAATGCGAAAAACTTAACAATTACTACCAAAAAACGGCAAGTTCCTTTGAAGAAAAAAAACTTGCAAACAGTAGTACTCAAATTCCGCATGTTTAGAATAGGGGGCAGGGAAACCTTCCTGAACAAACTTAAAATTAAGATCGTGGCTAGTATCAAGCATCATGTTTAGCTCATAATCTTGATTACAAAC